TTAAAATAGATAGGTAGATAGGGGATAATAGAGAGAGAGAGAGAGAGAGAGAGAGAGAGAGAGAGAGAGAGAGACATATTTAAATAGATTAGGCTGTAACAGATTTATAAATAGAGGTGAAATAAAAACCTGAATTCTTTTGGGCCAAGTTTCTGCTGCTTGTACAATATCCGCTAGGTCAGGGGATGCGCAATTATTCTAGAGACGACACTGAGATATTACTATCACTACATTAGTTAACTGACATCGGGACAAAATGTAGTCTTTATGTGCCTAGTAAATTTCTCTTGCTTAAAATATGAATATTACTAATCGAAACATTAAAAGATAATGTTAAAATATTAAATAGCTCCATCGATAAAACGAGTATTAGTCTGGAGAAGCTCCTTCTGGGAACAAAACGTGTCACTTTAGAGATTCCCATTTTGTTTTTTAGATGCCAAAATTACTGGTTCTTTTTCCATAGTTTACTGGAGGAAAGGCATTTTAAGCAGACGGGTTTTTATCTTAAAGTGATCGATATCAAAAGGTAAGGAGAGATCGCTAATAGAATTAATGTCGAGAAAATTTTCACTTAACCGAGTGGTGTTATTTCAGTTAGGCCGACTTCGAAGTTTCGTGAGCATGGTTGTAATCTCTTTACTCTTCAAGGCTATTGGAAGCCAACAGCCCTAAAAGTGAAGGCATTACAACAATGCGCTCACGAAACTTTAATCGACATAACTGAAATAAATTCACTCAGTTAAATGAACAAGTTTCTCACTCACACACACACACACACACACACACACACACACACACATATATATATATATATATATATATATATATATATATATATATATATATATGATAGGTTTAAATGTAGCGAAAGTGCTCTACTATTTACCAGGAGCTAAATATGATAAGAATATAGTCGACAGTCTGTTTCATGCTTAAACGCACGGCCTGACGATTGCATTTAAGCAAGGCTCAGATTGTCACCGCTGAATGTTGAATTCAGTGTCCACTTTCATATTTATATATTCGCCATAACATATCTTTAGTTTTTTTACACTGCCTTCTGCTCATGCGCGCTTATAGTTGGTACTATTGTCGTCACGTGATCGAAGATTGAGCTTGATCGTGCCAGTTTTCTTGCTGCTGTTACAGTGTAAACATGGCCGCCGTTAGCAGTGTGCACCATAGAGAAACAAAAAATAGTGATCTGAATTTGCGAGAACATGCTACCTCATCGATAATAACTCGCCGGTTTTCTGTTACCATCTCTCTTACTTTCTTAATCTTCTCGTCAGTGGTCACGCCTGTTCAGCACTTTTAAACTTCTCAATCCACTCATTCAAATTTCTATGCGGTCGGGCACTGCGTTAAAAGTCCCCGATTAATTTCAGCGATTATATGAACTTGTTTGAAAACATTTATTTTCGATAATGATAATTATTCAAAATGCAAAATTCAGTATTGCAATAAAAATGTAAAAATTAAAAGCAGAAATACAAATATTGTTAATAAAACAATTTAGTGAGAAAATTTAAGGCATTTGATACTGTACGCAAATAGTCAACTACTGAAGAGTAATTGTTAAAGGATGCCACTAAATTCTTTAAGTTTTCCATTTATGTCGCGGTATTTCTTGGTGCTCTTCATATTTTGGCAGCCTGCTCTTATTTTTGCAATATGAATTTCTTGCAAGTCCTGTTCTCTTTTATGAGCATCTAAGAATTTCCATATTGTGGGATGATGGGATCATACTTGCTTCAAAAAAGCCCTATGCCATCCTTCAAGGGTGTCATTAGTTCGAGGTAAATCCATATTGACTCTCTCAAAGAAAGACTACATATGTATTTCAAACATAGGTATTTCGAATAGTTATCATTTAGTATAATTGTCCTTTCAATTAATTTTCATTCAAATAATTTACAATAAGAATATATGCTTTTCGAATAATTGTTTTTGAGAAACAAAGAAAGAAAGTGCGTATATTTTTGGACTTACCTAAGTATACATACATAAATACACACACATACACACACACACACACACACACACACACACACACACACATATATATATATATATATATATATATATATATATATATATATATATAAGTTCCTTTGGTCTTTATTCATGTCTTTTTACAGATATACTCTATCCGAAATTTTACATTTTTCACACACACACACACACACACATATATATATATATATATATATATATATATATATAATATATACAGTGCAGAAAAGTGTTTGAAATTTGCATTTTTTATATATATATATATATATATATATATATATATATATAAATTACTAGCAGGCTTCGCCCGCGTGCTATCCTTCACAAAGATATATTCACTATTTGAAATCTTTGAAACAAAAATTTTAAATGAACATTTCATTCATAAATTAGCTCGTTATAGTAAAAGAAAGTTTTACAAATAGATGCCAACTTGTTGAAGGCCAAGTAAAATGCAAATTTCAAACGCTTTTCTGCACTATTCAAGACATTATTCCTAAACAGAACTATTTTTTATATGAAAATCAAAACAATCCTCGAATAAAAGAACAGTAATGAATGACAGTTGATTAATGAAATATACTTTTTTAGAATCAATATGCAAATTAGCTAAACCTGAAGTGATATCACCTAGAAGTATATAATATATAATACAGAAATTGAAATTACAACTCCAGAATTCGTTGGGTAATTGTGCGCCAATTTCGCATTTATTAATATAGATTCCATAATATTGGTTTTACTTAATTAGCTATTATGTTTCTCTAACTCTTCAAATGTTAAATGTAAATTCTATTTGCCAATCTTTACACGATATTTTATTTTATAAATTGTCTCCTGTTCTGTTACCCATGAAATAATTGTTTGTACGGAAAATAAGGATCTATGTACAGCAAATCACTCTTAAATTAAGTGGCAGCAGAAGAATTATCGTTGAACTTTTAAAAGGTAAGCTTAAACATTAATTTAATACTAAATTCAACGATCAATTTTGAGTTCTGTAGTTTATTGATACCTATCACGTCTACTCCTCCCTAGCTATTGTAATGATGGCCAAACCATGAGTCCTCCACAGGAGTTAGCTTAAATGCCGCCCGATAGGGCCTCTTCTCCCCCCTTGAACCATGAAAGCAACGATAATGGCTAGTATAATATATTAATATAAATTTTTAACCTCGCATAATCTGGTAAGCCTAAAACTAAGCTCAATGAAAATCGTTCCCCGCGCCTAACTTTTCTAGGGCTTTTGAATGAGCTGTGAATCATTGAAATCGGACCAGTGGGAGCGGAGGAGTTGCTTGCACACACACAGGCACAAAAACATACATGTACATTATATATATATATATATATATATATATATATTCGTTAAGACGAATCGAGTTCTCCGGTCACTGACGTGTTTAAAAATAAATCCGTCTAAATTCATCTTCATCCCTGCCATGCACCAATGGCTTAGGGGTAAAATCTCCGACTGATACCAAATCATGTCTAGCCACACTGATGAGCTGTGAAACAGCGGAACAGTCTTTCTGTGGATGACACACACACACACACACACACACACACACACAGATATATATATATATATATATATATATATATATATATATATATATATATATAATGGATTATGCTTCCGTTTCTTTTAAGCAGTATTTATTTCGTCTACCTGCCTGCGGACTCGAAAAAAAAAATAAATACGATGTGCCATCTGGCAGGATTCGAATCTGTGTCTCCCTTTGTAGGAGGAACCACTGTCCGGTCCAGTGTGCTTTGACCGCTCGGCTACAACAGGAGTCACTATTTTGCCTTTAGTGCACATTTACTTGTTCAGATATTTCTCGAAACGTATATCTACAAGTTTCGTGACTGAAACGTAATCAAAAATATTTTATAAAGAATTAATGGACTTTATTTTTTAATCCGATATAATTTTATTAATTCAAACATTATTTTTTGACTGGATAGCCGTTATGAAATAAATCGATTTCTACTGAAAAAACAAATTGGATGTAATATATTTATGTATTCGTCTGACGATTGCGATCAAGCCTGGAACAGACTGTCACCACTCAGCATTTAACTCGGTCTCTTATTTTATATTTACACCACTCTATCTCTAAGAACGAGCACTTTTACACATAAATATAACGTACCTTTTACTTTAATCAGTACACCTCAAACAAGGCAAAAATGCTACTAAGACTGAATAGGCTACTGGGAGTGAAAGACAAAGAAAATAATTTACATTTTAGAAGGAACCAGAAACCGAATTTTAAACAGGGAACAAGGGACAAACATCGACTCCTGTTCAAAAAACCGGAGAGAAGGGTGAAACGGGCGATAGGTGAACCTGTAAAACTATATTTGTATTATATAATGTGTGTGTGTGTGTGTGTGTGAATTGTCTACGTTTGTGTCCGGAATTTTCTCCGAAGGTATATTTTATAACATTTTTTCTGCCTGCAGACATACATAGGTCCCGTAACTTTTCAAATCCCAGCACTGAATACATGCGTGAATCCAGCAGTCATATGGATGGGCATGTAATTCGAATGTTTAATGGTCAAATAATTTATATTGAAAATAACAAATTATATTCGGAATTTGTTGGAAATGTTTAATTAAATCTGAATTCGATTCAAATTTTTATTTTTCGAATTATATTTCAGGTAAATAAACATTCGTATTAAACTATCTTCGTAAAGTACGTTATAGGTCCAAAATTTTGGCATCAGATTGTGGATTCCAGACAATCGTTTAAGATGTGAATGTTGCGTGACTTTTTTACAACTAATTTACTATTTTGCTTCGACTTCTTCCTGAAGAGTTTTATTAACTGTTTCACCCCACGCAAGGCAACAATGCCACTAGAACGCTAGGTAGGAGGTACAGAGAATGAAAGTGAAAGAGAAGATTGAAAATGGAAAGGACAAAAAAGAAACAGGATTCAAAAAGACAAAAGACGGCGATTGACGTTGCATTTAAAATCGGAAGGGAATTCCACAGTTGGGAAGTGCGAGAAAAAACTAGAATAGAGTAGAAGTGGTTTTTGCGTCTGGCTCGTTCAA